TGGGTACCTGACTTCAGAGTGTGGACCTAAGCCATTGGTTCAGGTCACTCTTAAAATCTTTGGACATCTGATGTGTAATAACTAATACTATGTCCTTTCCGATTTATTGTGGCTGCGTTTGATTTGGCACGAAGTTTAACACAAAAATAATAAGACTTTTAAAATTTATTGTCTAAAATAAGGTATAGATATTTATGTGACGATAAATCAATTCATTAAGAGTAAAGTAGGAATTCTAAAGATAAATTATTTCTAAATAAGGAAAAGTAATATTTTGTTTTTTAGCTTAATTAAAAATGAAAGAGTGTCACATGAATTAGGACGGAGAGAATAACTAAACAAGCTGTTACTATAACAATCTAAACTGAAGAAGTTTGTCTATTAAAGAAGCTAAGGCACCCTTTTAGCCTCTGCAGCCTACAATGCCTTAATTCACATCAATCTGTATCTTAACCATCAGGAAAGCAGTCTACTAAACACAAAAATATATGTCACGTTTTGATGGATACTGTAATCATATTGCCAACCATTATAAAGAAAATAAAACCAATTGAAGCTCGATCAAGAAACACTAAAAGGACCATGCAATACATCCATTGATTATATTCATAAAATTCTATTAGGCGCAGGATTTCATTCCCCGAGTGCTTTCTGTCCTTCTGAGGGGTGAAAGCGAGATTGAATGCTCTACATTGAGTGTAAGGGTAAGGTCAAGATAGTCTTAGCAATTCATCTACCTTGTTTGTGAGGAATTATCTGCACTGCCTTCAGTTTGCCGTGAAGTACGCTGATACCCCGGTTGTTTATAAATCGTCATATTTATAAAAAAAAGCCGCTTGAAGCCCCACCCCCTTTTCTATATAGGTGTATAACCGTAACAAGTTTTCTCTAAGTAGTACCGTACCAAGACCTTTCTTACGAGAAAAGAAAAAACCCGCAGCTTCCCTCAGGCTTCTACTGGAAATTAAGATCATACATTGATTTACTATACGCAGGAATGTGACTACAACCTGAATAAGATAAGAAGAAAATAGCCGCCAATGATGGAAGAATGATTAATGCCATGACCCAATTCCCACTATAGGCCGTGATGGCGTCCAACGTCATCGTTAGACAAGCCAAAATTGAACTATCCATTTAATTACTTACTTTATTACTTTCAAAATCATTGAATTTTATTTAATAGAGAAAACCAAGTATAAAAATAAGCATGGTGATATAAGGAATAAAATAAAATATGAGAGTGAAGCATTAGTATCAATAGACAAAATCATGAACATCTACTAGAAATTCTCAAAATCTAGTGTCACAAGTGCACAAACAATCTAGTAGAATATACAAATCTCATACAACTACTGCTTGAGTAAAATAGATAGAAATAATAAGTACAACAAGAGGAGGCTCCAGGTACTGCAGAACAGAGCATGGAAAGTAGCTCACCACTAGGCCTCTGGATAATGCAGGTACGCGCCTGGACGGACACCAAATGTACCTGCCTCAGTACCTGCACAATTTATGCAGGAGTGTAGCGTGAGTACATAAAATAACGCATACCCAGTAAATATCTAGTCTAACCTTGAAGAAGTAGTGACGAAGGGTCGACATCGACACTTACTAGAGGTCAATAAATAAAGTGCCAGAATATAGGCAGGAAATACAACAGTAATAATGGAATAAAAAGCATTAAATAAGTGATTTTTAAAACTCATAAATATCACATGCCAATTTCAACATATATACGCCATCAAGTATTTATTAATTCTCAAGTCATGAAGAAAATATCAAGTACAATCGGACTCCTAGTGACATCACGCACGAGTTATGCCGAGGTCGTATGGTCCGATCCATAATAATCGTGTACATACACTACTGAGGTCGTACAACCCGATCCATGGATGCATCTCATTAAATACAATTATTGTCGAGGCGTTCAGCCCAATCCACAAGAATAGGAAAACTCTTCGGACTACGGAACATACGTTTACAACACCAAGATAAGCACATAAAGGAACATAAATGTCTATCAATAATTAAATATCCTATCAACGCAAAGTAACGAAGCTCGGTCTAACAAAATCTCTAATTAAGTTTTACTTATTAATACAAGTAATTAAATTAACAAGTTGGGTTCAAATAATACAAGTATTGCATAATAAAGTCATATGTCTACCCGAACATAACATGAATTTAGCTACGTACAGACCCTTGTCACTTCATACGTACGTAGCACCCATAATTATTAACAAATAATAATTTAAACACTTATGGGGTTAATTCCCTCTTACAAGGTTAGGCAAGAGACTTACCTCGAGTTAATTCCCTCTTACAAGGTTAGGCAAGAGATTTACCTCGTTCCAAGCCCTCTTCCTGGTGCTCAAATCACACTAATAGCCTCAAATCGATATCGAGCAATCCAGAACTGGCCAAAGGTCGTGCAAACTAATCAATATGTGCTCAAATGTTCATAATTTAACTATTAGAGTAATTACCCAATCCAATTTGAAAAATTTCTAAAAGTCACTTTCGGGCCCACGTGCCTGGATTCCGAAACTTTTGTAAATAAATGAAACCCATAACCTTACAAACTCAAATATATAATTTCTACTCAATTCCATAATCATTTTCGTGGTCTAATCTCATTTTCACCAAAACCTAAGTTTTTCAACAAAATCCTATAATTTCCACAATTTACATGTTAAAATCTACCCATAATCTATGTACTAAACTCACATTAAGTAGAAATCAATTACCTTAAAATGCTAGGTGAAAAATCCCTCTCCAAGAGCTCCAAAATCGGCCAACCCAAAGTGAAATGAGAGAAAATGAACCTAAGTCCCGATTTAAAACATGTTTCTGCCCAGTGGTCCCTTCTTCGCGATTGATAGGCCTCTCGCGATCGCGAAGGCAAAAATATGCCATCGCCCAAAAATACTCTTCGCGAACGCGACATGGCCATCGCGAACGCGAAGGTCAACCTGACCAACCCTTCGCGAATGCGGTCAGCCAATCGCGAACGCGAAGAGTAACGACCTAGCTTCCCAGGCCCAGCTCCCTCCTTCTACGCGAACACGATACCACCATCGTGAACGCGATGACTACTGGTCTCTAGCCTTCGCTAATGCGACTGCCGTATCGCGAACGCGAAGCACTAAATGCCCTAGCCCCAATTCCTTGATCGCCAACGTGAGGCCTTCTCCGCGTTCGCGAAGAAGAAAACCAAAACAACAAATTGCAGAAATTTGAACTTAGCTCCGGTGGTTCGAAACTTATCCGAGCTACCTGGGACCCCGTCTAACTGTACCTATAAGTTCATAAATATAATACGGACTTGCTCGAAGCCTTGGGACGCATAAAACAACATCGAAACTAAGAATCGCACCCCAAAACCAAATTAATCAACTTATGAACTTCAAACTTCTTCAACTAGCTCTGAATGCGACGAACCATACTTACACAACTGAAAATAACGTAAAATTTTGCGTACTAGTCATAAATCACCATAAGAACCTATTCCGAGGCTCGAAATCCCAAACGGACATCGATATCACCAAAATCTACTTTAAACCAAATTTAAGAAACTTTAAAACCTTCAAGGCGCCAACTTTCAATATTAAGCGTCAAAACGCTCCCGGATCACCCAAAACTCGATCCGAACACACGCCTAAGTCCAAAATAATCATACGAACCTATTGGAACCATCAAATCACGGTTCCGATGTTGTTTACTAAAAATGTTGACTCAAGTAAAATTTGGCCACCTTAGGCCACTATTAAGGAACTAAGTGTTCCGATTTCAACCCGAACCCTTCCAAAACCAAACCAACCTTCCCCACAAGTCATATAACAAGTAAAAGCACATACGGCGAGTCTTAAATAGGGGAACGGGGATCTAGAAAGTAAAACAACCGGTTGGATCGTTACAATCAAACGAGGAGATAATAGGATCATCACTTTATTAAGGAGAAGATTATCTTAATATAACATTCTGTAACCAATTTGTTTCATCAAAAATTAAAACAAAAGAGCTACCTGGAGCTGACAACTAAACAATTTTTCTCCAATGACAGAGAAACTGGTTTGTTCTTCTTACATCCATTGGAGAAAAGTCTAACCTTTATTTAATAATTAAAGCTTGCGTATGTTAATCCTACGAGTGTACAACTCAGATGCCCCTTAAAGTGAATCTTGGGGTAATCTAGAATAATACATTACAATAAATAAACCAGTGAATTATTGAATCTGAATGAGTTTCTCTAATCCTTGGGAGCCACAACTGTTATTTCAGAATTTATTAATCCACTTTTCAATTCCTTTGAAAGATCTAAAATTTCTTTAAATACAGGATTCTCTTTCAGCTGTTAAAGTAGGAACCACAAACAAGGAAAAAAGTAAAGAAAAACACAGTTGACAAAATGGGTATCTGCATATCCAGTGAATCTTTTGAGATTCATGCTATTAATTATGGCCATGCAAATTTGGTTCACTATGAAGACAACAACAACAATGGATACCAACAAATTGGTTCAGTTTATTCTCAACAAGGATGCAAAGGACTCAATCAAGATTCTGCTATTCTCTATCAGGTTTGTGATCAATTTCTCTGAGTTTTATCATTTAAGAATAGGTTTTATATAGGGTGTCTAAAAATGGAAACTTTCTTTTTCTGGCAGGGGTATGGTGTAGAAAATGGAGTTTTCAGTGGAGTTTTTGATGGGCATGGAGAGAATGGACAGATAGTGAGCAAGTTAGTTATGAATAAGTTGCCATCTTTGCTTCTGAAACATATACTTTCTCTCCCAAAGATCACTTCTCCAAAACAAAATGTGAAAGAAGTTGATGAATCGGCGAAGAACAAGAATTTTAACAAGTGGAAAGAGGCTTTTCTGAGTTCCTTTAAGGTGGTGGATAAAGAAATTAAATGTCTTGAGAAATTGGACTGTTCTTGCAGTGGAACAACTGCTGTGGTTGCTATAAGACAGGTAATGAGAAAGTATTCCGAACCTATAAGATAATTCAGAAATTGAAACTTCATTTTTTATTTAGAGAATTGGATATATAATTTTGTTGTTTGAATGTTTTATATGCTATAGGATGATGATCTGATTATAGCTAATCTTGGCGATTCTCGAGCTGTACTAGGAAGAAAGACAGAGGAGGGAACAATTGAGCCTGTTCCATTAACTACTGATTTGAAGCCTAGCCTGCCTTGTAAGACTCTCGACATGATTGATGATACTAAAGTCACAGTTCAGTTCCAAATTGACCTACTAATGCCTAGATCATAAACTGTTTGATGCATGCAGCTGAAGCAGAAAGAATAAGGAATTGTGGTGGAAGAGTGCTAGCACTAGAAAAAGAGCCACATATACAGAGAGTGTGGTTACCCAATGAAGACGCTCCTGGACTCGCCATGTCTAGAGCTTTCGGAGATTTCATGCTCAAAAACTATGGTATTATCTCCAGGCCTGATGTCACCTATCACCATCTTTCTTCCAATGATCAGTTCCTTTTTCTAGCAACTGATGGGGTAAGCCGATTCTGACTATGTAGTTTTTGTTTGGTTTCTCGTCTTTCAAATCGAGTCTCTCCATTTCTCTGTTTCTACAAAACTTGACATATCCTGTTTTCATTGTAACATTAGGTATGGGATGTGCTTAGTAATGACCAAGTCGTTTCCATAGTGTGTTCAACA